CTCTGGGAGGGCTCCGTCGCGCCCACGCAGCGCAGCCGCCCCACCCCCTCTCGCCCTCCACGGGGGCAGGAGCTGGGAGGGGGAGACCAGGGCCACTGGCCGCGACGAAGGCATAGCTCCTCCTCTTTCACGGCGATCGCACACAAAACGTGCTCCTCCAACTCCCCCATCCCATCCTCCTCCGAGAACCCACAGCGCAAAAATCAAACTTCCAGGAGTCCTGCGGGGCCCTCCAAAGCCTCCTAGAAGCTTCCTCCTCCTCCCCCTCCCCCTCCCCCTCCTCCTCCTCACCCTCCTCCTCCTCCTCCTCGTCATCATCATCATCAGCATCATCATCAGCATCATCATCATCAACATCATCATCATCATCATCATCATCATCACCATCATCATCAGCAGCATCATCAGCAGCATCAGCATCATCATTATCATCAAGCCCAACGACAACAACAATAACAACAACAAAAACAACATCATCAATCGGCTATACGCACGAGTGACCCTGGGTAAGAGTGACCTTGGTGCGCGGCATTAGCGGGGCGCGGGGGAGCCAAACCCAAGCGCGCAAGCCGCTTATATCGCAGCGCGTTCGGCGATTGGGGGACCCATTTGGGCCCGCACCAAAGGTCACTCGGGCGAAAGGTCACTCTTACGTCTAGCCGAATCAACAGCAGCATCCTCATCATGATCAGCATCAGCATCATCATCAGCATCATCATCATTATCGTCCTCTTCCTCCTTCTCCTCCTCCTCCTCTTCTTTCTCCTTCTCCTCCTCCTCCTCAACCTCCTCCTCCTCCGCCTCCTCCTCTTCCTCCTCCGCCGGCCCCACGCCGACCTCTAGCACATGATCTGGAATGCGATCGAAAATTCCTACTCGGGGAAAACTCTGTGGAGGTGATCACAGTCAAGGCGCACTCCGGAAAGTCCGATGCCGAGCTGCTCGAGGGACTCGAGCGGTGCGACTACTTGGGCAACCAGGCGGCCGACCTCCCGGCGAAGGAGGGAGCCCGTTTGTGCCCAGTCCCTCAGCATCTCACGGCCACCTTAGCCCTACGAAGACCACAAAGGTCTCAGCTATGCTCGGGCTGGTAGGGTCAATGACTGCTACGATCGGCACGTTCGAGGAAACCACGGGCCGCTCCAAGAATGCCGCCCTGTTCCCTGGCCCTCGTCCTCGGCGTGTCCCGTTCCCCCCCTTGCGAAGTCGGCATGTTTTGGAATGGACCCAGGGGTCTTGGCGGTGCCGCAAGTGTGCCAAGCGACCGCATAGCGACAAGGCCAAGGCTTTGCTCTCGCGAAAGTTTTGCCGTGGGGGATCTTCCTCTCATGGGCGCTGGACGGAGGCTTCTCGTGTCGAGCAGGCTCCTTTGCAGGGGCCCAGTCAGCATAAGCTGTCTAGAATCGCCACTACACGTTGTCGGGAATGCGGCTCACTTTTGAGCGCTCGCGCATGCGGTCTCCTCACGGCGTGTCCCAAAGACCCCCGGACTCACAATGCCAAGACCAGACGGAACAGGCTGTTAGATGGCAAGCACCCTTATAAGAACACGCGGTTGCATGGAGAGGTAGTCGCGCTGTCTCGGCCGGAGGAGCGTCCATTTTTCGAGGCGATCGGCATTCCAGCGGAACCAGGGCCTTCCCTATGGCGCTGCTAGCAGCAGTGCGGGGCCCATGGAGGAAGCTGGAGCTTGGCGGCCATCCCGAGGGTGGAGCCCAGGAGACCCCAGTGGTACAGGGACTGAGCGAGGCCCAGACCTTGCGTGCGGTGCAGCTTTCGCTCCGACATCAGGCTACCAGGCGCCGCTCGGAAGCGCTCCGCCAAGCTCTCCCATCCTTCGAATCTTCGGGTTGATGCTTCAAGCCAGGCTGCCCTGGCACGCAGGCCGTCGCGAGGCACTCGCAGGCTCTGTGGTCGCGGAGGCCTCCTCCTCCTCTTCCTCCTCTCCCATTCCAGAGACATCTACAGTCTCTTGGAATATCTCTGAGAACCTGATCATCCCGTTCCTACTCCACCTCCTCACCATCATGACATTCCTGGAGCTACTGCTGCTTCCCTCCACCCTGTTTCCCACCTCCCCCCCATCCTGCTCCCCTCTCCTCCCATCCCTTCTCCTTGACGCCCTCCGTAGCCATTTTGGCTCAAGCCGTTTTGGCTCAAGCACAAGCGGCTGCGGGTGGGTTTCGCCTGTTTTGGCTCCAACTCGCCATGTAGCTATCCTCAGCGCCTCGCCGTGGCGTGCTTGCGGCAACTGGGAGGATCCTGCGTATTCCATCGGCTTCGCTGGTATGCAGTATTCGGCAGGTTGGCTAAGGCTGGGGGAATTCAGTTTCGTGCTTATCCTTTTCTGGTGCATCGGCTGAGCCTGGCCCAGGCCCACGTGGCAAGCAAGGCGCCCTCCTTTATACTGGTCTGGGATAGTTATGTTTGTTCCTGCGAGTGGTCTGGTTGCGAGGCCGTCTGCGGTGGATGCGATCTCAGGTTGGTGCCTTTCGTCGCA